TGACGCACGTTACGGCAAACTTTCTTTCAGTGTTGTAAAATAAAACAAAAAGACTTGGACTTACAACATGAGGGTCCGTGGCAACTGGCAAACTATTTCCAGACAAAAACCTGTTTGCTGAAGTTACAAATCAGTAACCAAAGGGCCAAACGGCTTCTTGGGGCCAACGTGACCGACGTAAAGTCCTGCTAGTCAAAATGTGGCAAAAGAGAACCTCGCGGATCGAGAGGAACGGCAGGACAAACTGCAAACTCCCCACTTGAGCTTTGCGTTGCTTTTAATGAACCATTTCCTCAAACAATCGCTCCTTTCTACCGCAAGACGACCACTGTTTCAGTTGTAAACACAAGGGCAAAGGGGTCATTAACCCTTCATGCTATGACTAATTCCCTCCGTTGCACATTAGACTGAGGTTGAATCACAAATTATTTTCATGGCGAATTGCTTCTCCAATTGCTAGTTATTGTGGTAGTGTTGCCCCAACCCCCCCCCGCCCCCCAGCCTTTGCCTTTCCGCTTCTCAAAGGTTAACACGAGTTCAAGGAAGTTCTCTCGTTTCACAACACAATAGCTTTGCATTTTAGTCATAAAAAAAAAAACGGCACGGTCACCCTTCACCCCAGAAACACATTCAAAGCCGTTTAATCCCAAAAGAGAGAAGCAAGGGTAGCAAAGCGGAATAAAAGAGCACACTTTAAATTCAAACCTACTGACAGTTTGGGCTGGCAACGTTCCCACATGCTCCTGACACACTCGATCCAAGTACAACTGCCCCCACCCCTCCTCCCCCGCTCCAAGCTCCTCCCCCGCCTCCTCCAGGCCCCTCCCCTTCCGCCTGCAGCAAAGAGCGACCTCACTTCCGCTTTACCTCTGACCCCTTGCTTATCACCGCCCTTCTCTATCCCCGCCCTTCTCTGGCAGGCCTCCAAACAGACAGGCGGATGAGGCCGGATGCTGGTGTGAGAGCAAGTGAGAGACAGAGAGAGAGAGAGTGAGAAAGAGAGCAAGCGGGCGAGCGAAAGGCCGAGAGAGAGAGAGAGAGAGAGAAAGAATTCTGTGTGGATGCCTGTTGGGGGGAGGTGGAATCAGGGAAAGTGTGTGAATGACACAGCCTATCACTAATTCACCATGTGGCCGCAGAAGCAGCAGGTTTCCCAGTGGTGTGTGTGTGTGTGTGTGTGTGTGTGTGTGTGTGTGTGTGTGTGTGTGTGTGTGTGTGTCTGGCGCATGAGGGGTGAGGGCCAGAGTGACGCACGGTGTCAAGTCTCAGGACTGATTATGGCATTCCCTGTACAGCCTGGTCGGCTCCGAGTTACATAAACCTCAGTGGTATCAGGAAGCGGCAGAGCTGGCGCTGCTGCACACAGAAAACGTGCTAAACCCGACTCACAATCGCACACATATCTGGAGGTTGCTGCTCGGTGGGGGGGGGGACCAGCAATACCCAGTCAGATAATAAATCTAAATCAGCAATGCAGGCAGGCAGGGAGAATGCACCTGCTCAGTGTTGCTGTCGGGGGGCCTGTAGTGGCTACAGAAGCCCAGGCCATCAGTATCCATCAGTCTCCACTTTCTATGCAGCAAGGGAGCCCCTTCTGCCCCTATACTGGGTCCGATCCAAAATGAAAGGTGAATGGCGAAAAACACATTTTAAATTAAAATCTGTAAGATTGTGTGTATCGTGAAAATATAGTAGTAGTGGTCCAAATGTACCTGGCTGTGTGCTGACATAACAGGACGCAAGTGGCTCTTCTAGAGAAAAACTGCTCATTTTTTACAGGTCGTTTTCCATTTATCCACAGCATCAAATCCACGATTCACTTAAAATTGTCATATTAGACAGCTTCTAGAGTAAGCAGTGCCTTTCAAAAATATTGGGTGATTTCTTGCGCGAGGAACCTGGTCCTCTTTGTGCACGTCAGGTTCCTACGTGACTGATACTGGGGTGGAGAACGGACCCTTTCAGCTTGAGCAGCCCATGAAAGGCTGATTTGAATGTTCTTCTGTTGCCCGCCTGCTGGTTTTCTTTTTGCCTTTAGGGATGATTTTAATTTGTAAACGTAAATACCTTCATCAAATCAAAATCAACACACATTAGGGTTGCGATCGAGAACATTATTAAGTTAAAATCCCAATAAGAAGTGCATCATTTGGACATGCAACGTGTACCAAATGAAACAATTCAAGTGTGCTGTGCAATGCTTTGAAAGTGTGTCCTTGAATGTAATGCTGTAATGTAAAGGGTGATGGACAAAGAAAAATGTAATACTTCACTACGATGCACAAAATCCGTAAACCCAATTGACCCTGCACAAAGTTCCGCCCCTTGAACACAAGACTGGTCAGCTCTAACGTAGCTGGTTGGGACTAAGCTTTTTCTGGAGCACCACACATGTTTTATCCACACAAAATTTGATTTTTAGCAGCGTTATGGTTTTATCCGTATTCCATGGCTGGTGGTGTTTAATCAGAAGTTTCTCTACAAGAGACAGCCTTTCAAATTTGTCAAAGCAAACACAGTTATATATATATATATATATATATATATATATATATATATATATGATAACTAGCAGTGGGGCAACAGGCAATCAGCCCCAGACCGAATCGCTTGCTTTTATTGCCAAAAGCCTTCTTTCCTACACACTCTGGGCACATAGCGAGCACACGGCTTCCTCCCCGTAGTGACTTCTTAAGCTCAATGACAATTTAAACATTGTATAATCAAGCCAGTGATCCTAAAGTGGATAATAATGGAACACGACACAACCAAGAACTTGCATGTGCCATGTAGTAATCCAGAATTCTACTTCTGGGTTACTTATATAAATAAAGCCACACGATTTTGTCTATAGTGATTGGGGCTTTGTTTCTCTTGTCCATGTCCTGTCGTCAACAAGGTGTACAAGGAAGGCTCCCTCCAGACACCCACTAATTTGTTGGGATTCCGCAAACAAGATTGGGGGGCCACCGCGCTCCAAGTGGCAGTGCAGCAACTTACTGTGAATGTGCTGCGACTGTGGCGTCCGCGTCTGTGGCGTCCGCAGCTGTGCGTGTATGCGTCTACAACAAAGCACCCTTGCTGTGCATAAATGTTGAAATGACTCATGGGCCAGGCTAGAGATCTACACACACATGTTCATTTGGCTTTAGAGCCATTGCAACGGGGGGGGGGGGGCGAAAGCAACTTGTTTTTCTCAAACTCTGTATAAAACTTTCGAATTTGGCGACCTGGGGATTCAATCTTGAATCTCCAGGTGCCAAACGCAGCTGCAGCTGACAATTACAACCACTGCAAATCCTAATTAGCCCCGCTGACTGCGGGGGGAGTGGAGAGCATGGGCAGCTAGCGCCCCCCGCACCCCCCCGATGCCTTGCCTGCTCAGCAAACACACCATCAGCAGGCTCTTCACACATCAGTGCACATGAATAGCACAGTCAGCCTGTGAGCATCAGCGCGGGCTGGATGTTGACACAGACGGGGAGAGGCTCATGCGTGTGGCCGCGGTTCATGGCCTCATTTCAATCAAGGGCCTCTGCAGATGGGCAAATGGTCGGCCTAACAAGGCCTTGCTCACACAGGCCACCCGTTTTGTTGCCTGTTGGGGAGGGGGAGGGGAGGGGGGATAGTAGAGGCAGTACTCAACACATGAGTCCTGCTTGGGCTCATGGGCACAGGTTTGGTTTTTGAAGTGTGGGGGTGCACAACGGGTCTGCTGTCACTAGCGGGACACGGTTCAGAGGGACAGAAAAAAAAAGAAGAAGAAAAAAAGGTCATTATCAGTGCGTTTAGTACACTCGAGGAAATGCCGATGCAGAAAGGCCAGAGCGATGATGAGATGATGCCATGATGGACATTTTTGGGTGTTGTCTGTAGCAATAAGGACGACTCAGCAAATGTCAATGGTGGGCTCTTGTGGAAAACGTTCCCCCCACACATGGGTTGTTTGCGCTGGACCAAACCTGTTTAATTGATAGTACAACAGATGTTTTTTTTGATAACGGAAATCCACAAAAATAGGATCAAACACCAATACAAGGATGTTGCTGAAAGTCGTTTTTCGGCACGCAGACCCTCACAAAACAGCTGTTGCTTTTGCTGCTGGTCACGCGTCACCCGCTGGCCAAGAGGCGGCGGGGATGCTGCTAAGAGTCACTAGCCAACTGAGGTCCAGGAACCGCCTGAAGCCTGTTACAGCCAGCTAATGCATTCTCCCAGCCTCCCCCACCGCCTCTCTCCTCCCTCTCGTGCTCTTCCTCGCTCGTCTCTTTCTTTTCCTACGCTGTCCTTTTTCCATGAGCTAGTGCTCTCCCCATCTCACAAACCCCCTCCCCCTCCCTCAAGCGCTAACCACTCTCCTCCACGCTTTTCTCTCTTGCCGCCTAGTCTTTCTCTTGCTCTCGTGCACGCACTCACAAACACACACACACACACACACACACACACAAACTGTGGCAGCCACCACAACAGCGTGCAACCTCCCCCACACTCCATGGAGGCAGTGTGCAAGTGCCGCTGACTCGCCCTGACCCACATCTTGATATAGCCCTAAGTATGCTTACAGCTAAGTCCTGAAGACACTCCTGCCACTCTTAGCCTAATCAGGCCTGACCTGCTGTCAGCACGCTGGGCAGATAGACGGTCCATGCCGGGCCGGACCATTATCATTCTCACAAGGCACCAGCTAGCTCCTCGCCACCACTCCCCACCACTGATTGCAGCTTTGCAGCCTTTCCTACGAGACAGACGCATGTTCTATCTGGGAATAGTTAGTTAAACATTATACGAGTGGGTGGATTCTGCGCCGTGCTACACTGGGAAGGTTTAAGAAGGAACCTTTTAGGAAAGGTTTGACGTTAGGAAAGCAGATATATCAAAAGAATTTCTACTTATAAACCTCTGTACCACTCCAATACCCTGTGTTGAGTTAGTCTGATGACCAGTTCAGGGTTAAGTGCATTTAAAAAGAACATTAGATTCAAGTAAAATACTCGTATTACCTTTTCTTGCTTGTATTCAACAGGTGGCGGTCTGCCATGCCCATGTCCCCTCTCTTGGCTAGAATCGACCCAGGAACTGTTGGATTCATCCTGTTGGCTGAGGGCAGCTGCCAGCTGGGGCAAAAGGTCAGGTAGGAGGTCAGGAGGCTCCAGGCCCTCCAAGTCTCCAACCTGAGCCTTTGATGGCAGGAGACTGTCTCCCAACGCTCGGTATCCATTTGTGTTTATGGCCCCGCAGCTCTGAGGCCGCTCAGAGGGCAGCTGGCTAGCAATGCTGGGGAAGCAGTTCATCGACTCGCCAAACATCTCGGACGACTTGTTCCCTTGGGTTTCCCCGGAGCAACGTAGGGCCCGGAAAGCACATTCATCCACCGGGTTCCTCATAACTACTGGGGATGGAAACTGACATACTGCCCCGGGCAGCTCAGGCACTGCAGAAGCGAGGGGTGCAGAGGTGGCGTTGGGCATCGACACGGAGGCTATGGGCTGCTGACCGAGACCGGGCATCTCCGGCTCGCCGGGATAGGTGGGGTACTGAGCAACTTGGTAAGCGGCAGCAGAACCGACCGTGCACGTGGGCAGGGAGTGAATCATAGACGACGAATGCATGGGGAACGGCAGGTTCGGGTCATCCGAGCCCGATCCGGAGAAGGCTGGACCTGCGCTCGTCAGCTGGTAGGTAGCCTGCTGCGGCTGTGGCTGCAAGCAAGCCCCACCCAGTGTTGCATTTGGACTATCCAAATACGACTTCCTTGAATGGAACCGTGGTCCTCCTACAGCTAGCTGGTGCTGAACCTGCTGCTGAGCATGGTGAACCTGCTGTTGGCTCTGGGACTGCCCTCCCTGGTGGAAGGAGAAACTGTGAAGCTGCTGCTGCTGCTGCTGCTGCTGCAGGGACATAGTTGGTGTGCTAATTTGTTGGTGCTGCCGCTGGTTTAACAGCTGTTGCTGATGTCTTTGCTGCTGCTGTTGTTGTTGTTGTTGTTGTTGTTGTTGTTGCAGCTGCTGCTGCTGCATTCTGTGCTGCTGCTCTTGTTGTTGGTGACACAGGTGGTGGCGTTGCTGCTGTTGTGCTTGTTGTGCTTGTTGTTGTCTTTCATGAAGTTGCTGGTTGTGCAGTTGCTGTTGCTGATGACAAAGCCTTTGTTGCTGTTGAGTTAAGGGGTGGTACCTATTCCCATTCTGGTCTTGGTTGCCCCACATTGGACTGCTACTGTTACAGAAGAGCCCATTGGATTGAGGTACTTGGCCCATGGCAGCACTATGGAATTGGGCATGCTGATCTGCAATCATGCCACCACCTCCACCCCCTGTGCCTGCAGGAATGGAAAATGGCTGCCCCATAGGGGTCTGCGCCTTAATGCCAATGTAGTGACCCATCTGCTGACTGTATGACGGCATGTCTTGTTGGGTGGCAACTGGTGGCATCATGTCCGGGTGCTTTCCTGGGTCTATGGGCTCCACTTGGAGCGGCTCGAAATCCGCAGTGAGGTTCAGCTCATCCACAAGCGATGGTGCTGACGGGAAGCCATCCTCGTCCAGCCCATCCAGTCCTCCCACAAAGAGGTTGGGGTCATTGAAGAAGTCCATGGCAGAGCCCGGAGCGTGACTGGAACCTGTGGAACTCCACTGGATCGGAGCTGGTCCCAAATCAGCCTCACTGGTAGCTAAAGCAGGTCCATAATATTGTGTCCCTTTCCAAAGACAGAGGAGAGAAAAATATATAAAATAAAGCATTAGTATGCAAAGATGAAGACTGTGTGTGTGTGTTTACGAAGTAATATATCGCCAATCTTTTTTCTTCGGAGAGCTAATTGGTCAAAATGATAATTGGCCGAGAGCAACTCATTGCATATTGTAAATAGAAGATTGATTTTCTTTCTTACTTCTTTGGTCCTAAATTAACGTTTCAGCCTCCAAGTTCATCACCTCTTTTCCATTCCTGTCATCGGCAAAGGGCTGTTTTTTTTTGGTGAAAGTGCCTCTAATTCTGCATTGGCCTACAACAGTTGGCTTCTTTTACTAAGCAGACACTGTTTTCTTAAAGCTTTTCTTTCAGCTCTTTTACTTTCTTTTTTTGCCGCTACCAGCCACAAAGTCGCATAAAAGCGTTGTAGTTTAAAAAAAGTATTTCAAAATGGTTGTCAAATCCAGTGAGCGCTTGCTAACATCACCATACATCCCACATACAATGCAGGCTTCAACTTATATATTTGCCACAGCTGAAACAAGCAGCGAGCTACTGGTAGCTTACATGCTACTTGTTGGAAACTCCTGGTCTAGATAATTAGACCACAATTTGCAAACAAACTACAAGCTACTGATTACAATAATCCAGCAGACCCCCTCCCACCTTCCCCCCCACGTGCTACACACACACACACACACAAATATATTTCCAGGCGTGAGTTACCTAGTAATACCATCCGGGTTTCTCCCCACGGATTTCCTCGGGTCATCCAATTCTTCTAACGGTGCCCATGTTTGGGAGGTCGGGTAGAATTGGGCGAATCCCAATTTTTGGTCAAAAAAAGGACCGGGTATTGCGGGAGCAAAAAGGTGTGTGGGTGGGAACGCCTTTTTTTGTGGACAAAAGCAACTGGGTTTTAAAAAAGTTCCAGAACACACCCGGGTCTCTTTTCTTGAACCCCTTCCCTTATAAAACAAATACACCCCTCACCCCCCCCCCCCCCCCCCCCCCACCCACAACCACAGAAGCCGCCTGTCCTGCTACTGCAGAATGTGTGGGAGGTACAAACAGCTGATAGAATTTCAACAGCTAGGGACAGCGGCAGATGAAGTTCTTCGGCCGCGTGAGCTAGCGTGTGCGTCTGTGCATGCGTGTTTGAGTGTTTTGCAACCACAGGCCGGCGGAAGATGACAGAAGCTCGCCCAGGTCGGTCATTATATGTTGACTTGCTGTGCACACAGGCAGGCACAGAAAAAACAAGCACAGCCATTTCTCCTGCAAATGTGAAAAAGTGGTGAATGAAATGGGGTTTTCAGTTTTTAAAATGCACTGGCCGTTAACTAAGACCTAAGTGTGTAAGGCTCAACTAGCACGCGTGACATGTACAATCAAAGGGTGAAATAAATCACTAAATAGGGGACTCTGAAAGCAAGTATCTGTATATACATTACTGCAATGGTGGACATTGGACATATCTCCAGACAATATTAGAAAAGTAGTTCTGCAGCTACTGCGATCTCATTTGAAAGAAATAGTCAGGATTCTGATTCTTGGCAAACATAATCAACACGCACACTCGCACTTATTGGGAGGCTAATCGGCAATCTTTCAAAGTTCAGACTATGCTGGTGAAAGGTGATTTGGTTGTGGTATGATTTCACACCTTTAGTACAAATATGATACACCAAGTGTTATTTGCAGTAGTCCAGTCAGAATTTGGTTGAAGCAAATCAAATGGCTTAAGCTGTAAAGCCGAAAGGAATTGGCATAACACCAGGTAGTAATATTAGCACTTTCCCAACACCAAGAGGTCCCAGTTCAAATCTGTCCACACAAGCATGAAGGCATTCCTGTCCTTTGGACTTGTGCCCCCAACCTTCCAATTTTACTGCGGTAGTTTACCATCCTCCTAATTTGGGGGGGGATCACGTGATGGACCTGATGTGCGAAATTCCCAGTGGTTCTTTTTTTTTTTTTTTTAAAGCATCTTTGGACGCCCAACTCTTAATAGCATGCTCGATGTCTCACATTAAGCAAAACACGGGGCATGTGAAATTACTGCCTCAGACCGTACTGAATCAGGAAAATGGGCTCAACTGCCCTTTCTCAGCAGTTTGTGATCACAAAAAGGGATAGTTACTTACACCGTTGCACACCCTAATTAAAGAGGTTTAAAAGTATCAAAAGGTTTATTTGCTTTTCTCATGAGAAAGATACTTTGGGATGAAATTAATTTTAAAAAAAAGTGTGCTTGTGTCCGTTCATTTGATGAACCCAAAGATTTTATTAATTTCTGTTATTTGAAATTGTTTCAAATTAGCTGGTTGTAGACATTTAAAGTTAGAATATACAACATAAATCTGGGGGAAGAGCGGACTCTCAATATCATCTTTGTCACGCACCATGGGGCATATTCCTCATCCTGCTGGTCAAACCACCGCTGACCTTCAACCCCAAACTGGCCACGAGACAGAAACCAATCCCCTGTATCTAAATCGCCTTCCAGCTGTTTCCTCCATAATCGTGACGTCGCAAGCGCCGTCCACCCACGTGCAACTCCTGCCCCACATCAACAAGAACTCCGCGTACAAAACTCCTCCGAGGTCGCCATTTCTTTACAAAAAACACACAACAAAAAACAACAAAAACAACAACCTGTTGCAGAAAGGGCTAAAAAAAAAAACGCGGCGACATAGTCCGAAGGTTACCGACGCGCTGGGAAACAAAGTAGCCTCGACGTAAAAAAAAAAAAAAAGTAGCGTTAACCGAAATAACCGTTTAATATCTATCTAATATCTGCGCGGTAAATGTTTCAACAGGTGACGTTAAGTTAACACGCGTGCTCCGACGCGGTGGGGAGTTTGTGGAGAAGTCTTGCCTTCCGTTAAGAACCAGAGTCCGGGGCTCACCTCGGTAGCCTCAGCATCCTCTTCGGCCCCAGCAAATGGCTCCAGCTCCTTTCTGCGCGGCTTGTTTGATAAGCCGGCGAGGCGACAGTGTGTCAAAGGGGGGGGGGGGGGGGACAAATGCTGGTCCGGCCGAGCGGAAGCGAACTGGACTGACGTGAGAACAGGAGGGGGGGGGGTCGAGGGAGGGGATGTGGGGGGGGGGGGGGGGGTATTGTGGGTTTGGAATTGGTAGAGCCTCGTTGAGTTGCGCACACGTGCTCCCAGAAGCTTCACTATGGGCCAAAAAAATAACAACACAGGATTGGGAGAAGAAGAAGAAGAAGAAGAAAAAAAAAGGTGTCGTGACGCTTCGACACGGAGGAGGAGGATGAGGGTGGGGGGAGTGACCGGAGATGGATAAGGGGGGTCGACAGGGATGGTGTCCGTGATAACACAACTAGTCTCGACCACTTTTTGTTCATTATTTCCAATAGAAATGTCGACTTACAGCGGGTCTACACATTAATAAATGAATATAAAGTGGATATATGTTACGTATATAAGTGTAGGTGCGCTGCTGACTGAGCCCGGCGGGTCGCTGTCAGTTCAGGACCACCACGAGCCGGGAGATACGCCGCCGCTGCTCTATGCCGCTAAAACTGTGTACCAAGTACGCCGACTTCCGCCGAATGAAACGCGAACTCACGGGAAAACTACCGGCGGAGAAGTTGGGCTCGTCACGTTCTTTATTTTTCCACCGGCGAGGATCCGCGCGCGGCGGCGGCGGCGGCGCGTCATCACACAGCTGAGGCGCGCCTCGCTGGCTGGACGCGATTTTGACAGCTCCGAGCCTGAATGGAACGGAACCTCTCGAGCCCCGAAACATCCCCGAGGGAGACTAAATACAATACAACAACAAAAAAACACACAGAAGAAGAAGTGTGACTTCTTACCTGAAACGAACGCCAAAGTGAAACTCCAGCCGTCGATGTGCAGTGTGTGTTTTTCGGGCGAACTTGTGACCGTGTTGTTAGTTGCGCTCCTGCTGGCGACCACGACGCAGCGGCTCTGCTGCTGCTGCTGCTGACGTGAATCCGATAACGCCGCATTTGCATAATAGTAAGCTCTTCTCTGATTGGAGAGCCGGTCGCTCCCCTCGAATTCACCTTTAGGCGTAAAATATAAAACCGGTCCGAGACGAGCAGGCGCTTTTGGACATGGGGCCGCACCCAACCGGCTCCGGTAAGCGGATGATTTAACCGTGGTTTTGTGCGTAAAGTCCCCGTGTTGACACAGTGCATAAGATGGCCGCGCGCGAGCCAGAGCCAATCGGGAGAGGTTTCACTTTCGCACATGCAAGCGGAGTCTCTCCACAGGGCCGAGAGGACATGGGTGGGAGCGCTGCGCTCCACTGCGGGGACATGTGGACCTCTGGTGGCCGACTGGGCAACATGCCGCCACGGATGATAAATGATTCCACATTGGCCCCGTTGCACTGGTTCATATCAGTGAGCCTATTATGACGTGATACAATTGGGGAGTTTTATTTTTATCATTTTTGTAGAAATGTTGATGTTGACAGTGACGCCACATACTCAACTAAATAATCATATTAAAAAATATATATGTAACTAGAACAGTATCGTAGTGGCAATCACTACAATACTTTGTATTGCTGTAGGCTGCCTAATTATAGAGTTGAATATTGGGGAACTTGTGACGAATGAAAACATCTCATGTAGATCATAGAGTGAGAACTCTGTGTATAATGTTTACTCTCAATCGGGTATTTCAAATTACTTGCAGTGCGTACAAAGTGCAAAGACAAAGTCGTTTTATCAGTTTATTGATTTCAAAGAAAAGCAAAGCAACCTCATGCCTTTTGGGCTTTCCTCCCTTTCTCAAAGGGGAGCGGAACAATGGGTCCGTGCAGAAGTCATTGAAATTTTCCCATTTGAAGGGGCGGAAAGGCCAAATGTCGGTGTGTGCGGGACCCACGGAAATGTTCACGTCGTTGCCTTTCCACAGTTGTTATAAATAGATTTGACGGTTTCAGCACCATATCTGCTATTCTGATACAGTCCTCCCCCCCCCCCCAAACTTTAAAAATACCCTCCTATTCCCACACTCTTAGTTTTAAAATATTTGCATATTGAAAGTGACTGGGCATTATTACTAGCAATTAAGCCCTTTACAGATTAAAACGTTACATAAAACACAACATATATCTGGCAATGGAAAAGGTTGATGATTGTAACTGGACAAAAAGCAATTTGGTGGTAATTTGACTACTTAAAACCTTATTTAAAATACAATCTGACTTTCCTTTAGACTTTGGCAGGAATCCTGCAATAACTAACTTGTGACAAACAATAACATTTGCCCCCAAAAAAAAAAAAAAAATCAACCTAAGCGGCAATTCACACAGTTCTTAAGTCAAAACTAAGCACAGCATCCATTATATACAACCCACAAGGTACAGAAAACATTCAAAATAAAATGAAAGAAGTTTAGATATTTAGCATCTCATTTAAAACCTCCTTGCCTCCTCTGCTTTATTTATTCATATAGAGTTATATTTGGAACTATGCGAGACAGTGGCATTAAGAATAAATCATTGTCCAATAAGAAACACTTATACAACATACGTCAATCTAACTGGTCATGGGGTGGGGATGGTGTTTATGAGGTTTCGTTTCACACAGAAGTGACTGACAACATTCCTAGTCTGACAAATAAAACAGTCCTGAGCCAAACCCAATAAGTGGTAGAGATGGTGTAGTCCTCTATACTTACCGTATGAATGCTTTAATCATACTTTCCAGCTCCTTTTTGGGGACAGCATGTTAGATCACCGAGCCCAAGATGTGCACAGCTCTGAAAATCTAACTTGACAAAAGCTCTTTGATTGCATCACAGCCTAAACGCGGTTGCTGGGACATCCGTTTGTCATCGTTGATTTTACAACTTTGATTCCTTATTGTAAAGCTGTTCCAGGTGATGCCTACAAAAGCTTTTAAAGCCAAGCAATAAACGTGGAGATTTAAACTCAAAGTTCTCCCAACTGTTTAAAGATCCACTTCACGTGAAGCAGCAGCTGTGGACGCACCGGCCTCCCTCTGGCGGCGGCTGCTGCTGCATCGGAGGTGCAGGCTCAGCTCTGGGGAGGACTGTCGTCTTTGCTGAAGGGCTGGGTCGAGCCGGGCTTCACCCAGGACAGCCCGGACACCGGCGCTCCCTTGTGGGCGTCCTCGGGCCGTCTCTGGGGAAACAAACCGGGCAGTTTAACGGCTACACAAAAGGAACCGCTCCAACAAAAACAACATAAAAAAAAATAGCTTGCAGTGCAACTTAACCCAAAAAATTGAGGTTTGGATTCTGGGAGGAAAAGCCAACTGCATTCTGTTGCTCATCTAGAATGGACCAAAGGTTGAGGTGGTCAACTAGTCATTTTTTTAAAAGAAACTTACTTTGTGAGTGAACATCCGCTCCTTCGCCTCCTCATGAACGGCTGGGTTCCATGGAGAAAAACTGTCAAACGGATTAAGAGTCACGATGTGAGCTTTACACGGCTGTTTTTCTTGTTGTGGAATGTGAAAAATGTGTGAAAAAACTTGACCAACCTTATTGCGTACGCATCATCTATCTTGGGCTGGTCAAAAAGATGACTGTTGCATAATTTCACACTGTCCACCACTTTGCTTTTGAACAGCTGCACATCCTTTTCATATCTGAAATGAAAGGAGAAAGTAACGCTTTATAACTAAAGCCGATAGCAAATCCAACACATTTTTGTTGTCATCGCAAATGTCTGTGCACAATACAAGTCGGGATCCCGCTGCTGAGTCGTATGTTGTTCCAGTCTTTATCAAAACGGGGCTAATCTAAAATAACAAACATCTCTTTTTAACAGTTCCAGTGTAACAGCGTCACAGACGGTCAACAGTTTGAGCTTTCTTTAGATTTGAGTTAAAAAAAGTTTTTCTTAAATTTGGATGAAAGGAAGTGAAAGGAGGCGGGGAAACTCACAGCACAGCCGCTTCTGGGTTGAGTGGTTCCGTGGTATTGATCTTGTAGAAAATTGTACGGGCATACATCAAGACTTGCCAAATGTGGTTGTGATTCCGTCTACAAGAACACATTACAAGTCGACCACAGCATTAATACTTTGGTGTGAGAACACGTACGCCCCATTTCAAACGTAAACACCCTACCATAGAATCGTACTTGAACTACATTCTGTGAAATAAGCAGTTAATTTAGATTTTCTTTAACTAAATCCCACTTTCAAATGGACCGGTTTGGTCCAAAAGGCGACTTTGCAACGTCCAGCTGAGTAAACTATCCAAGAGAAGCACTGACTGGTGAGGAGCTGGTGTTGATGGAACTTAGTAACCAAAATGTAGTCACATAAATAATTGTGTTAGAAAAAGAAGGGTAGTTGCAAATGTGTAAAAGCAGAGAGCATACCTCCATTTGGTGAAAGCCCTTCTGACATCGAGCTCTCCAGACACCGGGTCAACAAGAGGATGGAAGACTGGGATGTCAAATACTAATTTCTGAAATACAGCATAAGGAAGACATGATTAAGAACTAGCCTTAACTTCTGGATTGACAATTTTAACTGATTGTTCTGTAACACGAAGCGTTGTTTTTAATAGTCACTCGTTATGACTCAGGAGTTTCAGTTTTATGTAGTTTAACAGTTTCAATATGACTGTAAACTGTTGCAAATGAAAGTTAGAGATGTGGTCTTTTATTTTATCAAACGGGAAAAGTCCCGATCACAGAAAAAATATTTTTTCGTATAAAATAGATCATAAACAGTGATCACCAAAGTATAATAACACTTTAGCTTGTTGAAGCACTTTTCTAGATACCCAAATATGCTTTACATGGGCAAAGACAGACATGACAAAAAACAAAAATACTAAAAGAGAAAGAAACGAGCAAACAAAAGAAACAACAACTATATGAAGTGTAATATACTTACAGGACACTCTCCATCTGGATAGTTATCTGGAATATACACAGTGAACTTGAAGACTCCATCCTGGTACAAGCCATGTCTGATGAATATGACCCCGAACCACACTAAAAAACAAACAAACAACAAACCAAAAAAAACAGTGAGACACAAGATCGTTCAGAATCTCTACTCCCAGCAACACAGGCTTGAATACTGCACAGACAACGCTCAATTTAAAATTGGAGATATCTTCTTTTTTTTTTTTTTTTGGCAAAGCTTGAGCGCTAATGGCATGTAGATTATTTTGAGCAGGCTCGAGCTTTCTCAAAAGAATCCACGAGTAGCCACATGTTGTTATGGTAAACATGAAGAGGGCATGAACTTCAAAAAGAGGGTCCTTACTTAGTGCCGATTTGTAAGATGGCTGGACATAAATTCCAGGGAGTTTCTGCTTTATCACTAGTGTGCTGTGGGTCACATAGCAAGAAGTCAGATCAATGCACAGTGAGAGAAACTTTCATGAAACTTCCAAACCCAACTTCAACTGTGCACATGCGTTTAAAAAAAAAGTGCTACCAACATTTTAAAAAGACTCCAAATATGAATAGAGCACTGAGCACAATGTGAGAAAAGAACACTTACAACTCAGCCAGCAGAGAGTACTCCAAGTAAAAAGGGCCGTATGAAGCGTGTGTGCCGTTGGACGACTGGGCCGGGGTGCCCATTGACGCAGGCTTGGTAACGGGGGCTGCATTCTTAGGAATGGGCGGAAGCTGCTTTTTGCCAAAGGGCAGCCGGGCTGGGCTGGCTCTCTGCTCACTGTGTCCACTCTGATCCTCGCTGTCAGTTCTCTGCTGTTTTGTATGAGAAATATAAACAAGAATCTCAGCAAATCAGATGTATAGAAAAAGAAACAAGAAGTCCAGCGGTGTGAAAAGAAGGCAGAAAAAAAAAAAGTCTTTAGATTAGAAAATAATATCATTTGAGCCATTATGCAGTTACATTACATTACAGGTCATTTAGCTGACGCTTTTGGGGGAGCCAGGGTTCGGACCGCCAACCTTCCCTTCCCAGCGCACCCTCTCTACTCCACGCGCCACCGTCGACCCAGTTGATCAGTTTACAATGTGGCGTGTCCAACATCTCAGGTTACACTGCCAAAGTTGCGTTTAACTTTTACCGGTCACAATGATGCAGCCAGCGTACAGTGTCACTATTCACAGAGCAAAAAGCATCAGGAAGCCACAACAAATGCTGATGATTACAACCAGTATGCTAGGAATGTTTACAGTGGATAATTGCCATGATGCAACGTATTTAGCGTCTACATTCATTGAAGTCGGACTTGAATACCTAATGTTTGAAATGTTTCTTTGAGGCTGGAAAAGAAGAACTCCTGCTGCACTCATGCTCAGGCTGCACCTCCTACATTCTTCGCTTACATAAGCATGCTGAAATGTACCTCCCCTTCACTTTGTGGGAATTCAGTTGGGCACTACCTCGCTGTACTAAAATCGCCAGAAGTAAGGCTTGCTGGTAAAGCTATATACTGCTCAAAACAAACCGTTAACTACAGAAAGTAAACTGAAAAGGAACTATCTTTCTTAAATATCAGATGACTGATGTCTGAACACAGTTGAGGGTGCAGAGTACCGACACATCATCTTTATAAGTGCTGAGAGCTGTTGACACTGATGCATGTAGGGAACTCTGCTCAGTGGTAGAGCAAGGTCAACGGATTGGGGATTCGATTTCCCGCTGGTCCATGTCAACGTGTCCTTGGGGGCATTTAAAACCCAGAGTTGCTCTGGCAAACTGTGCCAGTGTAGAAATGGATGTTAATGGTTAGTAAGATACCTGATGCGCAGGCACCACCTCGTCATAAGATGACATGATGCGGGGAAAGAGCTTTGAGCACAAGGAAAGTGTCGTACAAGTGCAGCCCATTTACCATATAGTGTTAATTACTTGGGAGAAAAAGTCAGGTACCGTTTAATCTCCAAGTTGATCACAGATGTATGAAATTTATTGATGATGCAAAAGGAACTTTGAAGGATCTTCTGAAAACCTTAGCAAGCGTATGATCCATAAAGATAAATCAATATTAAATTGTTTAAGAATGGTGCACCCTTGCAAAACTACCATGTCAAGCTCATCATATGAACACTAAACAATATTATAGTACAATGTTTTGAACTTTACCTTACGACTTGAATTGGAAGACATGCTCCAGAAGGGGTTTAAGTTCATTACTCATCCAGAGGTTCAGAATGGTGTCCCTCTTTCTATGTAGATCCCACGACAAGAGCTGTACTGGCCATCCAAAACTGTAATGACAAAAGAAAGAAAAGACGCTTGACACAAGTGACTGTAGCTTCCGTTCAAAAGAACACAGGTCAAGTATTCAAGTATACAGTCAAGTATTTCATACGGATCTCGTGTCATCTAGCAGGTTAACACTATGGCAATACTTCATTGCAATTTCATAGTCGTTATCAATCTGTCTTATCAATAAGTGCAGATGGAAAAACTAAATGAGAAACGTTGACAATCGCTATAATGACAGGGGATGTGAGGGATTGTTTGGGATAGCTTAGCTCTGTGCTAACTTACGTTAGCTGTTTTCATGAAGGAAGCGAAGAGTTTGATTGCCATCGACGTTTGGAAAGTCAGTTGTGTAGCAAGTTGATCGCTGTAGTTTGTCGTCGGGTGGCAACACCAGAGAACAGTGTTTGAATTTCAATAAAATCTGCTATTAATATCGTGGCATTCCTGACAGGATATCGAGTTTTGTACCATTCGTCATAACGGTGCTAACGTTGCGTTAGCAAACAGTATAGACTTAACAGAACGTTAGCTTGCAGCTTAAACTCTAACCACATTCTCCCTCAAAGCCTAAAAGCAGGATGTGCACACACAGACGTTGTCACACCTGTTTTCCTTAACTAAGGTTAACAATGTATTAGTTATAGCATTAGCTTGCAATGCTACCTTTAGCGTTGCCAACACATTGTCTAACGTTATACCTTTAAGTTAAACTGTTGCGAAAGAAAAAACTATGCGATGAAACTCACCGTATTTGTCAGAGAGCTTTACAATGAGCTTTTAAGAGCGATATTAACGTGTGTCCTAGCGTATGTATCGCTGAACTGCTCAGCTGTTCGTCAGTCCTTTAAGTGTCATACCGGCTAACTAGCTAACATTGGCTAGCTAAATAATTTGACAGACAGAGAAACCAGAGTTCAATCTAACAACTGAGGGGGCGTTTCGGCGTATGGCTTCGGATTTGTATTGGTCTACAGGATAAACTTCTCACATTTCATTTGCTGGTTTCCTCGTCACGTGAGTAGGGAAAGTAGTTCGTGGAACAATGGCTTGCTGTCAATCAAACCGTGAGTACAGTTGCTGTGTTTTTCTTTTGTGGAACAAGAAAGAAAGGAAGATACGGTGATTTATTGCACAATGAAAAGGCGTTTTTAACAGAAGACATTTTTCTTATCTGACAAACCACAGGATAACCTAATTCGAGGGACTTTTAATTTAGCTATATTAAATTAAATGGAATAGTTGTAGATGATTGCTCGGGATGTCTTATATAATAATGAATATAATGTCTACTAGCGGTATCTGCACTGCTGCTCGTTGACTAGGTTAATCAAGTTGCAATGAAAAAAGTGTTATTGTTGTATTGTTATTGAAGTCTGTCGTGTCCGTTAATAGTTAATTCATTTCCCCAAAATGGTATTGACCCATTTTCTTTGCGAAAATCAACATGGCTGTTTACTCCAGGGTGGTTCATTTTAGAAATATTTCATATTTTGCTAAATTAATTGGCTAAATTCGAGGTTGAATAAACATTGTTAATAGAGCTACTGTTAAATATTTGAATGTAACGTTAGAGTCCAAAATAATACATCTATTTTCTGCTTATCCTCTTCAGGTGCCATTATTAAATGTTATTGGAGTTTTTTAACACTGAATATCAAGTGCATTTTTCTTTTTTCATAACACTTTTCCTCCGGATCATAATATCAATGTCTTTTTTTTGTGTGTCTTTTTAAACGACATTATCTGTTCAGTGTCCCCTAGAAAAAACGCTGCAGGCCCTCTGATGAATAATAACATAATAAACACTTTTCTATTGCCTTAATTTCAATGTTTCAGTGCACCTCACAGCCATAGTCCCTTGAGGATAAGACTCAAGCCATCTGCGTCACATATTTCTTTAGTATCGACCATGCTTCATTGGCAGTTCATTCTGCTGATTGATTGATTTCCTAACAATTACCCCTAATTATTTTTCTGGGTAAGAAAAAAAAAACTAATTTAATGCATGGGTGATTACATTAATTGGGAGAAATGACATTGTCCAAGTTTCAGAGTAAATACAAATTATTGACTCCATTATTGTTATCTGATTGTGTATTGTTCCAAGTACACTTCACTGACAAAGGTAATTAGTGTCCTGCTGCTTCATTGGGGCAGCCGGCAACGCAAGGTCACCATCACTCTTTTGACATGTACAAATCAAAGATCACCTCAAAACAAATAAGTTTATGCCTGGTTTGCCTCCATCGACATTGAGATAAACTGTCTGACACAAACAAGGGGGCAAATATTCACACCATTGGTTTTGTAATGAGTTTTTTTGTCTTTGCCATTGATTCTTTATCTAATCAACTATTGTGACCTTGTTTGGTCAAACAAATACTCTAATGAATGTAATTAAAATGGGGAGATTGGATTAACTAATTGAATATGTGACCGTTATGAAACCCGTTGGAGCTGTGTTTCCTTAATACTGGAAATATTTCAGCATCTGCTATTTGGTGGGAGGTCAATTATTATACCCTTCTCGGGCATTAAGCTTTATTTTGATTAGAATATATATATAAAGCAGTAAAGGCTATATACAAAATATCAAGTTGACAGGGGCCACGGTGATGATGAGCTACAGTACTGCATGTGAATAGTATCATATCAGCATCAGATCCCTTTTTATATTTGCAATGTAGATCAATGATGTAATGGTAAATTTTATTATCTGATTTTTCCTGTCTGAAAGATTTATATATATTGTTTTTTTTCCATCTGCGTGCCGTCAGCTGAAATTCAAATTTAACATGAAATATGTTCCCTGCTGTAGGTCCATTTCTTCAGAGACTTTTAGGCCGATGGACTCAAGTCTACAATTGCGTTTAAATGACAGTTAAAAATTACAATTGGCAGTCCCTGGTGAAGCCTGTCTTCACAGCATAGACATAAAAAAGTGAGAAAAGATGATTCCACATCCAGATAATATGTAATAACAATGTTAGTTTGAATAAAGAAAGCCAAATCTAGATTCAAATGTAATATTCATTTTAGAAATATGAACAACTGGGGAGTAAAGAATACAAAAGAAAAAACATCAGCCAAATCCTTCATATAGCAATAGTCTTTCCTTGTCCCCGAGGCTATGGCCTGCTAAAACCTCAATGCAGCAATTATTTGCTGTAATGACTGCAGTTCAAATAAGCCTGGAGATTTTATTAAACCAAATGAGAGAATCATCGGTGTATTATCACCTTGTGATTGACAGTGACAAGTGTTTGGGAAGCTCGGATATGAGCATGATGAAGAAGCTCTTGGCAAAGCTCTCGATAATGTTACCCCTGATAAAGTTTCCTGGAAAATCTCAGCCAACAAATGGAGGACGAAAGCTCCACGCATATTAATTCCAATTGTCAAATCCCTCCACTGGGGGAGAGGGGCAATCTGGCGGGGCCGACCCTCCATTCACTGAGTGGCATTTTACACAACTAATGAAAAAGAAATCCATTGTGCTGATCACATGCATAGATTTCACTCTACAATAATGAGGAAATAGAAATATTCATAATAAAAGTAAAGGTCACTTGCTGCTGCAGCTAAGCTTCCTAAGCTGCAATCTTTGCAAAAGCAGTTGTCAGGTTACGGCGATAAAATAGGAAAAAAGGTCGGGACGCCACGTTTCAACCCCGCACCGAGCCAAGAGGTGAGACTCCGCAGCCAGGCCCTGCCACGACATACTGTAGCTCCTTGATCATGTTTTTATGTATCCCCTACACATGTCTGTCCCTACGATGGATCTAACCGGGCCGGTCTCCTCCAGTGTCCAATAGGGAGGTTAAAGGTCAGTCAAAAAGCTGTGATGTACATAGATCCCTTTGTGACGTGCACGGCATAGAGCTAGTGTCTACATTCTTCGGGGATTTGTCTGGTCTAGTTAATAAAATACATGGAGAGATGTACATCCGCCTGCCCACTCTCCCGCACACCCATCCTGCCCATCTCTGTATATAGGTCACCTGGGCTTCTTCAGGCATATGAGCAGCGGAGCACAGACGCATATCTCACCTCCGAAACGAAATGCACAGCATTTCTTATTATTGCCCGCTGCGACTTCCGCGCTGAGCCCCGTCCTCATATGCATCATACGTTGGCATTTATTAGTGCCATGCACTAAGTACAGGCCATGTTATTGAATTTGAATATCAGCTTCTAGCCACATTCGCAGGTCCTGGAAATATATTAAGATGAAGCAATCTCATTTAATAACACCCAAACTAATAAAAGGAGAGCAGATTGGAAATTAAATTTATGAATATTGCTTGGCAGCAGGAGTTATCAAAAAAAAAACCCGGCTTGATCTGTCAGATATTTCTTTAGCTGCAATTTCCAACTACTTCCTTTCGAGTGGCGTGTTGAGGCAGCTGATATGTTTCGGCCTTTTTTCGTTTGGTCAAAAATATAAAACCATTGTGTGGCAACACATCAGAAACATAACAGTCCAAATTCAGGACGGGGCTGTGAAGGTGAATAGTGGGTCATTTTGATGCCCCATACCGCACTGTGACCTCAGCCATTGTTCAGCATGTTGTTCAGTTTTGGAAAATTGTTGAGCTGAAAGTGTTCATCCTGGACACAATAAGAAAAGCCCAAATACCATAAAAGTTATCCCATGAGTCAATGACCGAATACAAAAAGTGTACCTGGCTATTTGAGAATCCACTTTTCCCTTTAAAGAAAAAAACACTCCCACATCTTGAAACCAGCTCCCTGTGGTGGCATCCACCCAACAGCGGTCATATCGGTCTGTGCCAGAGCACAAATTATGGAGCGCCACTTTACTGACTCCGCTTCACGCGAGCACCGAAATGATGGACAACGTTCTGTTGGTTTCACTATTGTGTGCGTGTGCACGGCAGCCTTTTGCCAAGACATCCGACTGGCCCCGCTCCATCTGCGTGTAAGTGTTGACTCCCGGTGGAGCTCTGACTGTCACTCATGGCCCAACCGGTGTAGCGCCAGGCATTGATCGCCACATATTTCTTGCTGTGTACTTCCCGAACCTTCATCAACAGATGCAGCTGCAGAATTGATTAGCAGCAAGTCGATGACCAAATCTCTTTGGAAACATTTTTTATTTATGTGTGTGTTTATGTGGATAGCTTAGAGGGCCATTAGCGGGATTACCTTTGAGGCTCGGCAGAACAACAGATGTTCAAGGACGACAATCAATTTGACTTACAAGAGGCTGCAGTTGCAGGAAACAAGTGATAAGTCTGCGTGTGGGGAAAGGGGTTAAATAGAGACAGTTCACCGTGGTAACACACAAGTGAAGCAGAAGAACAGGAGAATTAGAATTACAGAATGTTCATTAATTAGTTTGAGATATCGGACCGGTTTATGAATACTAGAACACTCAGTTCATGAATTGAAGTTTCAAAATCTGCAACTATCTGCGGCTCAAAGCTCATTCTACTTATTGCTTCGAAAAGATAAATGTATTTGCACCTTGCAAAAAAAACGGTAATATTTGTTATTACAGCAAACTTTCTGAAGACCTTATGTTCAGGTGTTTAGGTAATGCTGAAAATGATTTTGCGGAGTCATTAACAAACAAAGTTAGTTTGGCCATTTAATATGATAAATACATAAAGCACAAAACATGTTTACCAAATGGATTCCAGCGCAAGCAAAACTGAATAGCTACGAGTAAAACACTTTCAATAAAAGCAGCGGCAGCCTTCAGAAAGGCCCGTTTTAATTTGTGCAGAGTGCTGCATTTAATTATACAATCGTCTATATTGAATTCAAATTAATGTTTGATATGGATATTCTTATTATATTCAAATAATCTTGAATCAGCACAAAATGTATTATTTCTCAGAGAAGATCATGTTCTTTCATTCTTTTCAATTTCCCCCTTTCCTCTCA